TAATTCAACTTTTATCACTAATGTCCTGTTTACGTTGGCCACATTTCTCAATCAGGAAGGGTTTTGCTGATGCATCACATGTGAGCATTGCCAGACATGCGATGAGCGGAATGGCATGTTTCAATGTAAACTGTGCAAGAACAACAACAACAAAATTACATTTGTATAGCACCTACGCCGAGGATTCCATCATGGGGTCACTCTGACTCAATTCCACCCCTCATTCAAAGCCCATTTAAAAATGTAGCTCTTTCCCCTTCCCCACTCTCCTGGGCTCTCGCTTCCCCCCACACCCCCCCTCCCCCCCCCCCCCCCCAGTTCATGTGCCCAGCCAGCACTGGAGATATTCTCCCGACGTGAAAGGTGCTAAAAATGTAAATTGTATTTTGCTCCCATTAATTATCCGGTTGCTGAAGATGGTTTGGCAGTGTGATACTTACAAAATGGAAGAGCTTTTGGGATTATAGAGGATTTATAAGGCGTTGCCCAATTTGATAGCTCTATGTAGGATATAGGAATGACTAATCCACAACTAGATCATATTCTTTAATGCTGTTGCAGGTTAATTTTCTAAAGTCACACAGTGGTGTTTCAAATTTATTTTAAAAGGATTTCATATTCTCGGGGCTCAATGGTTCCTTGTTGAGCAGCTATACATCTGTCAGCCTTCTGCAGGGCACGGCTAGGTCCAAGAGCATGGACAGAAATATGACAGTAGATGTGATGTAAATCCATGTATAACACTACCGGGTGTGAGTTGACTTACTGTGCTCTGCATTTTCACTTTTGCCCGCAAAAATATACAGTGAATTCACTTTACACTATATTCTGTAAAGCGCTTTGAGATGTCTCAATGAATGTGATAAGGTGTAATATATGTTGTCTAATTATCTCAAAGCTCTATCCAGGATTCAATGAAGGTTGTGGTGGCTGTAAGTTCTGCAGGCAGGAGAGGCAGCCATTTTGGGCACTAGCTTCCCAGGCAGGGCACAACCTTAGGCAAGTTTCCTTACTCCACGCACTTCTTTACCTAGCAGCAAGTAGGAACCCACATGTTAGTCGATTGGCAAATCGCTTTCCTGAGGTAATTTGAACCCCTTCAGTCGGGTTTCCGTGCTGCCCATAGCACAGAAACCACCCTGGTCAAGGTCACCAATGACATCTTGACCATCTGCGACCAGGGCTCCCTCTGCCTCCTCGTCCTCCTCGAACTATCGGCAGCATTCAATACGGTCGACCACGCTATCCTCCTCCACCGCTTGTCCTCCCATCTCAAACTTCAAGGCCCTGTCCTTGAGTGGTTTAGGTCGTACCTCTACCACCATCTTCACTTTGTTTCCACAAACGGCTTTTCCTCCACCCCCGCACTGTCTCGTGCGGTGTCCCTCAGGGCTCTGTCCTCGGTCCCCTCCTCTTCACCCTCTATATGCTCCCCCTGTGGTGACATCATCCGCAGACATAAGATTAACTTCCACATGTATGCGGATGACACCCCACTCTACCTTTCCTCCTCTACCCTCAACTCCACGACCCCCGATATCCTGACAGCTGTCTGTCCGACATCGAGTCCTGGACGAGAGACAACTTTCTTCAGCTCAACGTGCGCAAAACTGAGGCCCTCCTGATTGGCTCACGTCAGTGCCTCCACACCTCAGGAGCTGACAGCATCAGTATCCAAGGCTACACTCTCCACCTCTCAAAGCCATCAGGAACCTCGGCGTTCTGTTCAACCATGAGCTGTCCTTTCTTCCCCACATCCGCGCCACAACTGCACCGCCTTCCATCACCTCCGAAACATCGCCAGACTACGGCACTACCTCAGCCCTCACGCGGCTGAAACTCTGGTCCACACCTTTATCACCTCAAGGCTGGACTATGGGAACTCTCTCTTCGCCGGCCTTCCCAGCACCTCCCTCCACAAGCTGCAGGTCATTCAGAACTCTGCAGCTCGTGTACTGTCCCGCACCAGGCTTCGGGACCACATCACTCCCACCCTCGCTCGCCTCCACTGGCTCCCCATCCCTCAGAGGATCAAATTCAAGATCCTCATCCTCACCTACAAGGCCATTCCCGGCCTCACTCCCTCCTACTTCTCCGACCTACTATCCCCCTACTTACCTGCCCGTACCCTCCATTCCTCTGGCTCCGGTCTGCTCCACATCCCCCGCCCCAACCGCCTTACCATCGGTGGCCGGGCCTTCAGCCCCGAGGCTCTGGAACTCCATCCCCCAGTGCCTTCGCCGCTTCCTCCCTTTCCTCCTTCAAGGCCAGTCTCAAGACCTTTCTCTTTGACCTTCAGCCTTCAGCTCCCCTCTCGACTCTCTACCCCCTCCTCGCTCCCTCCCTTCCCTCCCCTCACATTGGCCATTTCCCCCCTCCTCGCTCCCTCCCTTCCCTCCCCTCACCCTGACCATTTTCCCCCTGCTCGGGTCCTGACCCAACTGTGCAGCGCCTTGGGCCGTCCTCCCGACGTGAAATGCGCTATATAAATTAAATCTTGTTGTTGGTTGTTGTAATGATCCCTCCACCCCCAAAAATGTGGTCACTTAATCCACGACTGTTTGTGGGACACTGCTGTATGCGATTGGCCGCCCACAAAATGTACAGACCATCCACTTTACAATATATGCTGTGAAGCACTTTAAAACATCTCAACATTGTGATAAGGCGCTAAATCAAATGCAAGGATTATTTTTATTATTTTACTGTGCTTTGCCTAGCTGTGGTTTGCATTACCACTACCACTCCCTCATTTTTGAATTCAGGATAATTTGCTGCAGGCTCCAACAGTAACTGACTTTGTTCCATGATCTGGGAACATTCAGAAAACTGCAGCGTTAAGGCCATTCATTGTGAACATTTGATTGGGTGTAATGGTGGGAGGGGAGGGGTGGGGTTAAAGTCGTCTGTCTTATCTCAATAATTGACTGGGCTGACTGATTTGTTACCCTGCTTCTTGTGCTCTGAAAAGTATCACCAGGCTCAGATTCTGTAGTGTCTGGGCACAAGAATTCATGAATTAAGCAAATAAAGCAAGATGGTTGAGTGGGCAATAGAGCATTAAGCTGCCTGGCCAAGTGCCGTGGGTCTCAAGAGGCTGCGTTTAGTGTGCTTATTCCGTCATTATGCAGGTGGCACAGGGCTGTTTAGGGCCTGTTACGTTCCAGCTAATGAGCTGTGATCCTTCCCTGAGCCAAGCCTCAGCTCTCAGGTTACTAAGGGGTTAATATTTTCCATGACTCAATCACACACATATGTGTGACACACCACACGCTCAGGTAATTCTTTCCCTGCTGCGTGTACCACCGCAGCCAATGCTTCTCTCACACATTTACCCTAAACCTGGAGAATCCATATTTTCTGCAAAGTCTGGTTCCAATTATAATAATAAATAAATAATACTTACATTTGATATAACATTTTGCACATCTTCTAGACGTCTCAAAGCTCTTCACAGAATATACTGGAAAGTGAATTGACTGTATATTTTGTAGACGAAACAAAGCGGTCAATTGCGCACAGCAGCGTCCCACCAAGGAAGGATTATTTTCTGGCGTGGAGTAAGGAAACTTGCCCAAGATTTCACCCTGCCGGGAATCAAACCAGGTCTCTCGCTTGCGAGTCGAGTGTTCTAACCACTGAGCTACAGGACTCCTACAGTTTCCAGGGAATACGCTTCTGTATTGTTAGGCACAGATTGTTCCAGAACATGGCTGTTTGGCTGTTCCTGGGCTTCATATGGTGGTAACACTGATATTTGTGCCACCACCATGTTGTGATAAGACTGACTGATGAGTGTGCATTGTGAGGGTGTGGGGTATGAATGTGCTGTGTGAGCCCTGAGTGTGTAGTGCGAGTATAAGCTATAAGGCTAGTGAGTGAGTGAGAATGCAGTCACAGAGTGTGAGTTATGTACACGTGGTGTGAGTGTGAGCTTTTGTGTGTGGTGGGAGCACATAGTGAGGGCATGAGGTGTGTGCATATCGGCTCAGGAAGGTCAGTGCTGAAAGTTTAATTTTTAGTTCACAGTTTCAGCAGTTTATAATCAACATTTGTGCAAACGTTGCTTCCCGAGGGTTACTCCCACTTTAAACCCATAACTGCTTTACTGGCAGGAACATGAAACAAATGTCTCCAACATCTGTCAACGAGACCAGGAAAACATCCATTTGCACAACTGGGCCTTATGTGTGAGACATTCCCTCCCATCCAGCACTGGAGCTGAGCACATCAACTCGATCTGTGAGATACTGAGCCCAGCCCTGAGCTGCTGATCCATCAGAATGTTTTCTCGTCTGTGAGGGATGCCTCAGTACACTTAAACAATGTGGACACAAGAACTCACAGTCTGTGATCACACTGACAAGCAACCTGGTACAAAGTCTGTGAACTCAGGGCCACACAGCCCGAGCACATGTTGGCACACACCATATGTACACGCTGACATGCAACCAGTGTGCATATTGTCGGTGTACATAACGGCACACAGCCTGTGTACATTTTGTCAAGCAGTCCAAATACGCAGTGACAAGTAACTTGTGAACATACTGATATGGAGCCTGTGTACAAAATGACACCTGATCTGTAAATGGTGGCAGGTAGCGATGTATATCAAATGCAAGGATTATTATTATTATTATATGCTGATACACACTGACACTGTGTTGTGTGCTTGCTTACACACTGACATATATATAGCTTGTGTATACAGTGACAGTCCATGTACACACTGACTGTATACGTGGCAATGTTTTTATTGCTATAATTTCTGTGTTTTTCTAAAAGACAATTTGTGACAAAATCACGTGGACAGGAAGCCACTTGATAGCACAGCACAGATATTCACAGTCTGAATAAGGAAAAGATCAGAAAATCTGGAGCTGTTCCAGTTGTTGATTCATTCGTTCAACCAACAGTACAGAAAAATAGCCCGTGAGCCAAAGGGAGACCTGGATCTGAGTCTCTCTCATGGTTTGGCGCAGATCCTTGGCTCTCAGTGGTTGGGGAGGGGGAGGGGAGGCTTTCTCTCTTCTGCCAGAGGTTATTTCTGCAGCTGCACAGCAGGAGAAGGTTCCACAGGATCAGCTCTAACACTGCTCAAGGTTATCGTTATTATTATTAAGGTGCAACATTTTTTAAGGCGATGATTCGGGCACCTTAATGACATTTTACTTAAGTATTTCCAAAGGTTTTGCCGCGTGTGCGCTGTTGAACGTGACCCTGAGGCTGAACAAGTTCCTGATGTGAGGGAGAGAGGGAGTTGCTGTCGCTGACGCCAGTCTCAGCCTTTGGGACACGGCGCCGCGTGTAGAATTGGTCTTTCTGTTTGAAAGCTTTGGGTCAGGAATAACATTCCCATAACGACTGCAAGTGCGTGTGTGTGAGTGAGAGTGTGGAGTATTTGTGGAGAGTTCTGTTTCTCAGGGTTTGTGCTGTGACTGTGATACTGACCGACTGTTGTGACTGGTGCCCGACTCTCACCATCTTCTCTTCCTCAGACTCCGCGCTGTTCCTGATTGAGGTGCAATGGCAACAGCTGATCAGGAGGTCAGCGTCCCAGATGGAGGGTGGGGATGGGCTGTGGTCATCGGTGCTTTTATTTCCATTGGCTTCTCCTACGCATTCCCGAAAGCCATCACAGTATTCTTCAAGGAAATCAAGGAAATCTTTGAATCTACCGACAGCCAAGTGGCCTGGATCTCTTCCATTATGTTGGCCGTGATGTACGCCGGAGGTAAGGAGCCATCTCAGTCTGTGGCTGTGCCCCTCACACACACACAGTCTGTGGCTGTGCCCCTCACACACACACAGTCTGTGGCTGTGCCCCTCACACACACACAGTCTGTGGCTGTGCCCCTCACACACACACAGTCTGTGGCTGTGCCCCTCACAGTCTATGGCTGTGCCCCTCACAGTCTATGGCTGTGCTCCTCAAACAGTCTGTGGCTGTGCCCCTCACACAGTCGGTGGTTGTGGACTTTACACAGTCTGTGGCTGTGCCCCTCACACACACACAGTCCGTGGCTGTGCCCCTCACACAGTCCATGGCTGTGCCCCTCACAGTCTGTGGCTGTGCCCCTCACACAGTCCGTGGCTGTGCCCCTCACACAGTCTGTGGCTGTGCCCCTTACACAGTCCGTGGCTGTGCCCCTCTCACACACACACACACAGTCTGTCGGTGTTCATCAGGTTGCTCCTCGGCTGGTTTATGGTATTTGCTTCCTATCATTTCCGCTAGTTTATTGAGTGATTCACGGCAGTTTAGCAGCTTGAACCAGTTTAATCTACAGCAGAATGGTGGATGTGGTGGCATTTTGGCTAAACTCCCAAAACCCACATGCTAATTTGTGGTCTTTACATTGAAATGAATTGAATACTTCAGGCCACCTTCCCTGGGGCTCAAATCATGAGACTGCCATCAAGAAGTAATCTTTGTTTCTAAAGCAACTGGTTTCATGCCTATTGGATCTGAGGCTTAGTGTTGGTGCATATACTGGCCTTATGTAAACTCCCTTCCATTAGGCTAAGACACATGCAGCTAAACATGATATCCTGGGAACCACTACTATCTGATAGGTTAGTAACTTTAGTGCAAAGTTTGATCATTCCTGTTTCTCCTCACCACCTCCACACCTGGGGGCGAGGGGACTTTAGACAACCCGATCAGAATTCCTATTACATCAGGAATCTTCAATTATAATTGACTGATTAGTAATCCACAAACTAATGGATACCAATCACTGTGTTCCCATGTAACCTGATCCCAAGCTGTTTAACCTGAAACCGGAAGCTGCTTTCAGCCATTTTCCCCGAAACTTTCTGATACCCTCTTCCATAGAGTAATAGCAAAGAGGCGGAATTATAGGTTAATAGGTTTTCATTGTGAAATTAAATGTTTCCCCTTTGACTGGGCATGCACACAGGCCAGAAACTATAGCATTCCAGGTACTCAGGTGTTACTCTGGTCAAGCAACTACCAACCACGGCAGTTTGTGTCGGAGTAGATATTACCTCCTAATTGCATCTCCAGAGAAGGTCCAGATAAAAGTGTGTGAATCTGGTTCAGTCAGCAGAGGAGAGTCCGTCTTAGTTCCAAGTGGAAATATGGTCAGAACCAGCTTCCAACAACAACAACAAGATTCCATTTATAGAGCGGCTTTCACGTTGGGAGGACGTCCCAAGGCGCTGTACAGTTGGGTCAGGACCCAAGCAAGGGGGAAATGGTCGGGGAAGGGAGGGAGCGAGGAGGGTGTACAGAGTCGAGAGGGGAGTTGGAGGCACGGTCAAAGAGAAAGGTCTTGAGACCGGCCTTGAAGGAGGAAAGGGAGGAGGCAAGGTGAAGGCACTGGGGAATAGAGTTCCAGAGTCTAGGGGCTGAGAGGCTGAAGGCCCGGCCACCGATGGTAGGGGGTTGGGGCGGGGGATATGGAGCAGACCGGAGCCAGAGGAGCGGAGCGTACAGGCAGGTAGGTAGGGGGATAGTAGGTCGGAGAGGTAGGAGGGAGCAAGGCCGTGAATGGCCTTGTAGGTGAGGATGAGGATCTTGAAATCGATCCTCTGGGGGATGGGGAGCCGGTGGAGGCGAGCGAGGGTGGGAGTGATGTGGAAACAAATGGCGAGCAGCAGGTCTTCAGAGCAGAGCATCTCTGGAGCAATGGTAGAAAGACTTCTGTTCATCGTTTAAACTTTGTGCCAAATGTTATCGGAGGCCATGCTGAGAGAGGGGTGGGAAGGGGCTAACTGGTTGCCCAGATCAATCTACGATGTACTGACACCAAAAATCACAAGCCATTGCACGAAGTCCTGAACGATTGACTATTGTATGCAACACTGATGTGTTGTTAAATGAGTGTTTTTACAACCTGCCTTTTTCATTTTACATGTCACGTTTTTCATAAAATCTTTTCACTCTAAGAATCTTTACCTTGTGAAGTTGGTGTGAGGATTGGCCAGAGGATTTTTTGCTTCATGGCTGGCTGTGTTTCGCCCACAAAATACACAGTCACTACACTTTACAGTATATCCTAGATAGGGTTGCGGTGCAAATTGAAGCATAGGAAATGGAGTAGGAGGTGGAAGCAGGTGATGAGCAGAATCTCTAATAACAAAGCATTGAATGTTATCTCCTTCTCAGGTCCCATTAGTAGTGTTCTGGTGAACAGGTATGGGAGCCGGCCAGTGATGCTGGTTGGTGGAGCACTCGTCAGCACCGGCCTTGTGGCTGCTTCCTTCTCCACCAGCATTGTAGGGCTATACATCTGCATCGGGGTCATTGGAGGTGAGTCCATTCGGCAGGGAGTACAATGGATAGGGAGCTAACACAATCACTGCATCAGAAATACTGTAGTCTATGTATATTCTCCTCTGTGTATCATTATCTCTCCCCACTCTCCCATTGCACTACTCTCTATTCCCTTCAATCATTGCTCTCCCTCCTTTCACTTGTGATTTCTGCTCTAGATATTTTGTAATAGTATCCACACAGTGACCTTCGTTGCTTTAACGCACACATTACCTCAGGGGACACGTATATGATTTGTTGCTGTGAACAAACGCTGTGCAGTGGAGTTGCTTTTTTGTGCTGGATCCAAATTTGCACCATTCCTTCAAAGTGAATCTTATTAAACTCTAAAACAGAATTGATTTGTAACTAATTTAAAAATGAAACAGGTCATTCATTTTGTTCTTTAAACAGAAGCTTTTTATAAATTCAATACAATCTTCTCCCTAAACAACTTCCATCCATGTTCTTACTGAATTAACTTTGTGCTTACTTGTGGGCCTGGCCCAAGTCTCCCACACATCGCCAGGTTATGTTCAATCTTAGAATTTCAGGTCAGTGAATTTGTTAGAAATTCCATATTTTTAAATATAGTAAAATTGCAGCACAAAATGGAGTGAAATTCCACCTAGTCTCAGTTTAGTGTTTCAGAGCTATTAGTGTTTCAGAGCTTCCAGCATTTGGCAATATCTTAAATACATTCTTACTTCTGAGCGGGAAGATTGTGGGTTGAAGCCCCATATTGGGAAGAGGATTCAAGGCCAGTGGTTCTCAAACAATGTATTTTTGTGGCCAACAGTGTACTGTTGGCTGCAGTGTGACTTTTCATAATCTGCATTACTCCAACTTCTTCTCAAACCAGTCAGCTCATACCTATTTTCCATGAAACTGCACTAATCCTGTCAATGACTGAACCAAATCCAGCCGATTTCCAATTTTGGACACTTTAAAGTGCAAAGTAAATAGGGTAAATCTAAACCCAGTTTTAATTTCTCCCCAAAAGTAGGCCCTGGGAAAGAGACTGGCACCTGAAAATCTACCAGACAGGATCTTGGTTTAACCAGAACATGATCTGAAGGATAGCATTTGTGTGGCAATGAAGCAGAACTGAGTGTCATCTTAGCCTGTGAACTCAAAACCGAATGTGGGGCTTGAACCCCAACCTTCTGAACTAGAAACAAGAGTGCTACTGAATGAATCAAATTGGAACTGAGGGTGGGTGGATTGCAGATATACTTTGCCTTTAATCAACATTGTTAACCATTGAACTACAACTTAACTTTGTTTCTCTCCAGGTCTCGGGCTTGCATTTAACCTGCAACCGGCCCTGACGATGATCGGCAAATACTTTTACAAGCGGCGTCCCCTGGCCAATGGCCTGGCCATGGCTGGCAGTCCAGTGGTGCTCAGTACACTGGCTCCTCTGAACCAGTACCTCTTTGACAACTTCTCCTGGAGGGGCAGCTTTCTGATTCTTGGTGGTATTCTGCTGAACTGCTGTGTGGCTGGATCACTCATGCGTCCAGTGAGCCCTGCACCAAAAGCTCCTGTGCAGGAGTCTGGAGCCAAAACTGATCTCATATCCCGGGAGCACAAAGAAAAGACCACAGTGCTTCAGATAATCACCAAGCACCTGGATTTGACCCTCTTCCTACACAGAGGCTTCCTCATCTACCTGTCGGGAAATGTCATCATGTTCTTTGGCCTTTTTGCTCCTCTCGTCTACTTGTCCTCCTTCGCCAAGCACATAGGTATCGATGATTACTCAGCGGCCTTCCTGCTTTCTATCCTCGCCTTTGTGGACATGTTTGCCAGACCCTCCATGGGCTTTCTCGCTAATACCAAGTGGGTGCGGCCTAAGATCCAGTATTTTTTCTGCTTCTCCATCTTGTATAACGGCATTTGCCACATGATGGTAACATTTGCCACTGACTACACTGGCCTGGTTATTTATGCTATCTTTTTCGGCTTTGCCTTTGGGATGCTCAGCTCGGTGCTATTTGAAACATTGATGGATATTGTGGGGGCGCAGAGGTTCTCCAGTGCTGTCGGCCTGGTCACCATTGTGGAATGTTGCCCTGTGCTTCTAGGACCACCACTCGTTGGTAAGCTGGGTCTCTGGGAGAGGAGATGGTAAACTGGGTCTCTGGGCGAGGAGATGGTAAGCTGGGTCTCCGGGAGAGAAGGGAGGGAAGGTAGAGACTTTACAATAAAACCATAAAGCTACTGGTCTTAATACTTCTAGACTGTTCTGTCTCTAACAATTTATTGCCAATTTCACTTTATTCTCTGCACAAAAGCAAAAGGAAACCATGGGGAATCCTTTGTTTCCACTCTCCTTTCCTTCATTCTTTCGTTACCTTCCCTCTGTTTCTTTTTTTTCCCTCTCCAATTTTTGATTTGTTTTAACGTCTCTAAATTTAAATGAAAATGCAAACAACAGCAACAAATGCATTGTGTGCTGGCCAATATTCCTTGCCAATCTAAATTCACCCCCCCCCCCTCAAAATTCTAATTATTTTGACTCCTCATTTTATTATTCTTAGTGGGGTTATGAGTTCAAAGTCCCAATTTATGGATTTCCTTCAAGAACATTTAAGTTTAATAAACTTCCTTTCTCTTTAAATGCTTAGCCAGGAAATGATGCTTTTAGAGTGGGGACAAAAGGTAGCAGAATATTAATTTAAAATGGACAAAAACTATTGAGGTTTTCCACATGCTAGACATCAGTAAACAGAGACATAAACCACTGCAAGCTCTTGAGATCATTGGTGTTGATTCGCTTAGTAAAACAATGGCTTTTATTTCAGAAATAGTTCTGTTTGATCAGACCCAAGGTAATGACAATCTCAGAGGGTGTGTCTAAGAGAGGCTTTGTTTTGCAGGAATGCTGAAGGATGCGTACAATGATTTCCGTTATGTGTACTATGCATGTGGAGCTGTCCTGATCTTTGCCAGTATCTATCTCTTCATTGGAAATATCATAAACTACCGTATGGTTGCGCAAGAACGAAAAGCCCAGGAAGATGACAGCAATCGAGACCAGAGCAAAGAGATTGAAGCCTCAGGAAAGACGTACCTGGATGGAGCTGCAGAAGAGGAGACAAACATATAACGTGGGATGTTATATCAATAATCAGTGCTATATAGTCTTCAGTGTCACACTGCCACCGCATTCCCTGATCAAGGTAGTAGCGACACCATGGTACATTCAGATAATCTGTTGGGAACAGTTTATTGCTGGAACAATTAATCAATTTTAATTTTCATTCTCTTCCTTATTCCCTCCCACTTAGGCCATCAAAGAAATATGAAGACGCTCCTTTGGCCATTTACTGTAACTCTCCTAACATCTTCCCATTGCAGCATCAAGCTGCTTCTTAAATAAATCTAGCAACCTCGGCTCAACCTGGTAATCCATTCCACTGTTGATTCCTCTTCTGTTGATTTCCCCCCTTGTGTAAAGAAACCCTCAGGCAGCGTCACCCAGAGTTCCACATGGAGCCAGGCATATCTGGTTTTACACCCAGAACCAAGCACTCGGTCTTAATCCAGGAGTCAAGATCACCCATTGTTACTCCTGGAGTCAGACACTGCAGAGCTACAGCCAGAACCAAGAACTGCAGTCACTACTGACAATTTCTGGCTCTTTTGATTCTGATACACAGTGACACAGCTGTTCCCACTGGTCCTAAGAGGAACTTTTCATTGATTCAGTCAAGAGTGAAATTAAAGGAAGATAAGATATAAAAGCGGAGGTAATATTAGGCCCATATAAATATCATTAGGCCACAGGTGGAATAATGGGTTCAGTTTTTGACACCTACTATAGGACGGATGCCTGGGCCATAGAGAGGGTATAGATACAGAGGTGAGAGGTATGTGTTTTGAGGAAAGATGGGCTGTTTTCCCTGGAACAAGGAAGTTTGCGAGGAAACCTCATAAAGATTTTTTCTAAAATTATGGTTTTGATAACTTAAAACAAAGAAAAAATATTTTGATTGCTTGGTAAGCCAATAACTAAAGGGCACAGATATAGGTAATTACCAAAAGAACAAATTGAGAGGTTGTGAGAATTTTTTTGATACAGAGGGTTGTTCTCACATTGAATGCCCTACCCAACAACAACTTCCATTTACCTTACGTTAGCACTTACCCAGAATAATGGTTCAGGTGATATTCAGAATTGCTTTATAGAGGAAATTGAATATCTGACAAGACGTATATGGGTCTAGCTATGGGCTTACCAGGTTCAGATTTACCTTCTTTATATAGAATTTCAGAGCATCCAGAATTTGGCTAATAAAAATAGTAATAATCCTTGCATTTGATATAGTGCCTCATCAAGTCTACAACAGTGTCAAATAAAGCACTTCACAGGATATAGTGTAAAGTGAATTGACTGTATATTTTGTGTTGAAAATTCTTAAACACAGCCCTAATTTTCAAGCCAGTTTTTCTGTAAGTTTGTTAAGATTGAATTCACAAATTATCAAATTCAGGACACTCCAATATAATAATCCTTGCATTTGATATAGCACTTTTCACATCTTCCAGACGTCTCAAAGTGCTTCACAGAATATACTGTAAAGTGAATTGACTGTATATTGTGGAGTCCTGTTGCTCAGTGGTTAGAACACTCGGCTCGCAAGCGAGAGACCTTGGTTTGATTCCCAGCAGGGCAAAACCTTGCTCAAGTTTTCTTATTCCACACGCCTGATAATAATCCCTCAAGAAAAAAAACACAATAATAAAACCGGTCACTTCAATCCACGACAGTTTGTGGGACACTGCAATGTGCAATTGGCTGCCGCGTTTCGCCCACAAATATACAGTCAGTTCACTTCACAGTATATTCTGTGAAGCTTTGAGACGTCTAGAAGATGTGAAAAGCACTATATGAAATGCAAGGATTATTATTTATTATATTTTGTGGGCGAAACGCGGCATCCAATTGCACACAGCAGTGTCCCACAAACAGTCATAACACGTAAATAGAGTAAATCTAGACCCAGGTGGAATTTCTCTCCCAATAAGAAGAGTACAGAGAAGACAGGAGAATGGGACTAAACAAATAGCTTTTTCAGTGAGTAAGCACAATGGTTCTCATGGTTTCACGAGGAGGCTTGCATCATGTGATACTGACTTCAGGCAGAAATAACATTACTGTATTTATCTCCACATTTAGTGTCAGCATTCATGTGACCCAATTTAGTGCCTTTCATTTTTAAACCCCATCCTCCAGTCCTCTTTCCACGTCCATCTTAAGTCCTTGTTAAACCGAGACTTTGGGTATCTTTCCCCGTTCACCTCGGGAGCCATCCTCAGCTCAGGAGGCAAACTAGGAATCACAAATGCTTTGGGACATCCTCCTGATGTGAAAGACTCAATATAAATATAAATTTGTATTAAGACTTGGTGCTAAATTTCTATAATTGTAAATCAATAATTGCACAATGCAAATGTAAATTCCTCAGTTCACGATTTCAAAAGTTATGAAACTATAAGAACAAACTTTCTGAGTCAATCTGTGTCATATTTGTACTCTCTACTCTGCAGTTTTGAATATGTTCATTGTATTAAATGTCTGTATTTTTAAAATCTTTAATCTATGTTGTTATGTTTGGTTGCCTACAGTTACCTGTGTAACTATGGTGCGATGGATAGTGTGATCAGTCCATAAACTGATACTAGGTGGGAGACATAGATCAATAAATGACCCGATTTCACTACAGGTTGTTAGAAGTTTCCTCAGATATTACTAATACTGCAGCTGCATTGAAATATAGCATTGAGAAGCAAGTCGGATCCGATGCACAAAAAAAGTAGCATCAAATCAACTGGGTTTACAATAAATACTGCATAAAAGTAACTACATCTCCCACAGGGCCTCAAGGCCATTCTCTACAGTTTGTATACCACCCTCTGGTGTGTTTGAGCAACTGTCCATTGACCCAAGTGGAACCCTCTGCTGCCTCAGTGCCCAATCACAGCCCATCAGCAGCAAACACCCCCCACCCCCCGCTTCCCTGCTCACCTTGGAATTTGGTGGTGCTCTGACAATCTCCTCCACTGGTGGCTAAACACTGGGGCGCGAAGGTAAGCAACGATAGCCATAGACACATGCAATTGCCTGGGGCCCCAAGGCAGCGAGAGTGCCACCTGTTGTCATGAAACCCATTGACATTGTGTCCCCACCAGCCCAAGCCAGTGTGTGTGTGTTTGATGGATATCGCGTCACAACCAATCAGTGGTCGCTCCAGGCTGCCAATCCAGCCAATAGCCAAAGCACCAGGGTGGGCTCAGCTGGAATTGAAAGGCAGATTAAAGTGATCCGAAACAAAACCAGAAGTGGTTGAGACCACTCAGCATCTATGGAGAGAGGAAAGGGAGTCAACGTTTCGGGTCCATGGCCCTTCGTCAGAACCGGGGCATGTTGGGAAGGAGAGGCTTTTAAGGGCTGAGGGGTGGGGGGGTGCAGGGCAACGCCCACAAATATACGGTAAAGAGAGAGCTCTTAAGAGACAACTGGATAGGTATCTGGGGAAGACAGATTTGCAGGGTTATGGGGAGAAAGCTGGTGATTGGGGTTAGTGAAAGTGACGCTCTGTCAAAGAGCTGGCACAGACTCGATGGGCCGAATGGCCTCCTGTGCCGTAACATTCTATGAATCTGTGAATTCACTTTACAGCATATTCTGTGAAGTGCTTTGAGACGTCTAGAAGACATGAAAAGCGCTATATCAAATGCAAAGATTATTATATTACTATAAGGAAGGCAAAGGAGAAAATGAGGTAGAGGACAGGGGATGATGGGTTAAAGAGGTGTTAATATTGCAGAACAAAGGGGGGGATTGCAACAAAACAGGCCGACCAGAGAGAGAAAAGGTGTGTCTGGGACCCAGATGATGTGGTAACAGTCACAGCAGAGAAGGAAGGGGGAAAGGTGAGCTGTTATTGTATGAAATTGTTGAAATCAATATTGAGGCCAGAGGCTGCAAGGTCCTGAGCAGATAAATGAGGTGCTGTTCCTTGAGCTTGCGCTGTGGCTCATTGGAACAGCGTAGACCATGGATGGAGAGATCAGAGAGGAAGTGGGAGGGAGAGTTGAAGTGATCAGACCCGCTCACTCACCAGTCACTGGGAGCAGGGATTCCTCCCACTCTGCTCCTTCCCACCACATACACTGCAGCATTGAGTGAATACAATGCACTGCAGCACCAGCGTGTAATGAGTTACATTGCCACACACTACAGGCTTTGAACACTCTGAAGGATCAGAAAGTCCCTGTGCTGTGCCACTGCCTGTGGTTGGGACAAACATTCTCCTCCTGGTAACCCTATCATTCAGGTGGTGTTTCCAATACACTTTATAAATGACTTTATACGCTGTATTGAAAGACGTCACACTGAACACTGTCTCGAATCAATCTTCTGTGATCTCTGGAGCTTGGTCCGTAAAGCAGACTGGTCTGTAGTGCTCCAGGCATTGTTGATGGCAAGTCTGGTTTGTCAACAGGACTTGGAGGTGCAGGCCATTCGAGCCAGGGGTTTCCCCACTCTGGTCCTGTTAACCTTGCATTAAAACAGAGCGTGTTTCTGTGCTCCTGTGTGTTGTACAAATAGGAGGTGGGAATTTCTCACTGTCGCCCGTTATGATAGATTTAGACTGAATCTCAACACTTAATCTTGATCAGCCCCAATGTGTGGCCTGTGGTTCCCCTTGCCTAAGAGGGACTGGAGTTTCAGTTGGTGCCGTCAGCCAAGCAATAAGATAGGCGTGAAACGCAGATCCCCACAGTGGCTGTGCTCCTGGGCTGTGCTTCGTGGAAGCATGTGGGCAGAGGGCCCCCTAATGGTGATGTGTCTGCATATTAATGGCATAAAACACAACTAGAAATGATCAATAACCACAATCACAACTTGATTATTTATTGATTTGCGATTGTCAAACTTTTAAAAATTGTCACTAATTTAGTTCCTGATTACCTTACAACACATTTATATAGCGTCTGTCAAGGATGTTTCAAAGAGAGGGCCAGAGCTGGGGGTGGGGGTGCTGATCGAAAGCGGTCAAACAGGTACGTTTACGTTTTGTGTTATTTGGAGCATGTTACCGGCCCAGATTAGCTCCACGTTTGCTTTTATAACATTAATTTTATTTCTAATAAATTTCAATCTATAAAATGCTTCGAGACAATATATAAATGCATTTTTTTTGCTGCAGCTGTTAAGCTTGGAATAGAAATGCAGAAGTAAAGTGATCAGATCCACTCGCTCAGCAGCTCTGCCCCACAACCTATTCTAGTAGTCTCAATATAATCTGCCGGGATGCTGCACACACCACATGCAGCTGTCCTCAGATTTCACATCGAAACCGAGGAGTAGATATCAAAATAAATGTCATTCAAAAACAAATTAGTGCCTACTATAATGCGTTTTAGGAACTAGTTCTATATTCAAGGATAAGAAAATTGGAAGTGAAATAATTACCACAATTAATGACGCATAGTTAATGACCTATTAACCTGAAGATGTTGACTATTGATTGCAATTTTAATTAAATTCAGGGTTAATTACTAAATTGCTGGACTATTAAACTCATCAGAAATCATAACCTCCCAATATTTTTACTAACAGGAACCAAATGATCAACAAGTGACTATCCTTTCAGGTTAGTAAGTGATGGGGCGGGAGGGGGGGAGCTTGGAGCTGAGCTGACTGTAAGGTGATGGATGTGCTTGGTAACGGAATGTCAAAATCCAATCAACCCTCTGTAGCTCCTTGAACCAAGACTACTCTCCATAACCTGGCCAGCCAACCTCACGGCAAAATCACGGTGGCACTAGATAGATCTAATCACCTGTATCAAACTCCATTTGGTCATCTTCCCAATCTTCACCAGGCTACAATGGCTCTGTGTCTTCTAATGGATCGATTTCAAGGTCTTCACCTTCAGTCATAAATCCCTTCGCACCCTAGTAGCTCTGTGATCTTCTCCTACCTCACTCTTCTGCTCTCTCCCTCTGCTGAGCTAACTTGGGCCTGTTGTGTGTCCCCCTCCCCCTCTGTACCTTCAGCAACTATGCCCCTAACCTCTGGAACTCCTTCCCTCGACCTCTTTGTCTCACTGTTTTCTATCTGTTTAGAAATGTTGCCTAAAAACGTATCTCTTCGACTGCACCTATCTCTTCCCTTCTCTCTTGCTTGGTGGCTAATCCTGTGTTTTGTGAAAGGTTATTCTACAAGAAGGACACCACATAAATGCAAAGGTGGTGTTGTTGCCTGTGGCTCCAGCAATGAGAAACTACTAGTAAGCACTTTGAGATGCTACCTGGGTGAAGGGAGCTAAATATAAATGCAAATTGTTGGTGT